AACATTCTGCTTTGGAATAAAAGTTATTTTGACAAAAGTGGTCCTGACTGAACTGTACTCAGTGAGAGAGTTACCCTTGATTAAGTAAACAAACCCATATTATTGTATTTATTTTCTCGTTCTGCTACGTCGTCTCAGTTTCAGTTGACGTAATGAGCGTCACGTGGGACTTACTGGGACTCTCCACGCTGCCGTCTTTGTGGCTGTGATTTGGGTTGAGAGCGAAGTGAAGCTGCCGTCTGAACAGAGCTCGGTCGTCTGTGTGGATCAGCTCAAACACGCTCTGATGGACGACGTCTGACTGAAAACAGAGACACAAATCAGCATTTTGTTGCTGTAAAAAGAAGTTTAAATTCACGGGGTGAAAAAGAAATCGTGGTGGTAATAGTCCTGCTCCAAACAGAGAAAAACAAGCACTATAATACTGGAAAAATCTGAATAAATACTTGCTAAATGATCCATCTCGGATTCATTTCCAGCCTAAATGACACGCTTAAATGCTTCAAAATTAAACAGCAATTCCAATATTTGATCATCTGTACGGTAGAAAATTTAATGGAACATTAACTCTCTTAGATTAACTTAATTTAGTACAAAAGAATCCCAAATCACACAACCGGTTTTCCTCCTGAAGACTTTTTAATCGACGACCTCGATGGCCAGATGAGCTCGTATTTTAAACCTTCTGTTTTGTGGCATCGGTTGTTTTTATAACAATTTTTACTGAAGATTTTAACTTTTTGCTGCTTTCACAAATAACATTAGTATAATTAAAGGTGGTATAAAATCATATAATTACATACTATTACACCGCCTCGTCCTCAGTAGTGATTAACTGTACTTGGATGATTGCAGGAACAATTAAGGAAAGGACTTAAAGTTAGCCAGTTATAATTTCAAGGAATAAAGGACATTTATTTATCATTATACAACAAGAGCGTGTAGTTCCTTTCATCACATCCATGAACAATTTGGCTTCTTAAAATCCGACGCAGTCAGACACCATACAATGACGATTTCAGCAACAAAAAGAGTAACAAGATGCATAATAATAATAATAATAATCAGTTTGAATGATGTTGTTTTAAACAGCACTTCCCCTCTATCAATCTGATAGGACTTCAGTTCATTAATAATCATAAACGCACTGCCCCAACCTCTCTTTTTAAAGAGGGGGAGGAGAAGAAAGCTGAGGCCAGCGGCTTTCCAAGACCACTGACTCATTCTGTCCCATAAGCTGCTTGGCTGATCTCCAGTCAGCATGGGTATATTAGCCTGGGAGTCTTGGCTGCAGCGCCCGTCTTGGCAGCACAAACATAAATGTTGACGCTGAGGGTCATGCAGGACTTCCCACAGCAGAACTCAAACACACATTTTCTCTCCACTCCCAAGAAAAAGAACATAAAAGTTTGTGTGCAGAAGAAAGAATGAACACCAAGTCACAAGAGAGACTGAAACTGCCCCGTCACGAGCTGCCTGCCTCTCCAGCTTCGGTTTAGGTGGTTTTATTAAAACGATTCTGCTTCGTGAAAACTGATTTAATGTGCTGAGAATGAAACAAAAGTTTCAACAGGCGGAAGGAAAGGTAGAAATGTTTTTTTAACACGATGCAGACATTTAGCTTTTACTTTAGACTAATTTACAGTTATTGAAGCAAGATTGATAAAGAAATTAGTACATTTGTTTTAGAATCAGCCAATTTTAGAAACATTCTGCCACATAAAAAAACATGCTTTATTAATGTTAATAAGTGAGTAGCAGCAGCTGTAGTAGAAGACAAAGTAGCAGTGGTACTTGTAGCATGAGTGCTGTCAGCCAGCAGGAGGAGCAGGAGGAAGTATTAATACTATTATTATTAGTAAAAGTATTATAATAGAACTATTGACGGCTGTCTCTCCGCTCTAGCTTTCGGCTGCATTGAAGTATCTGGCACAAACATTTCAGATCAGCCGTCGTTCAGAGGGAGTGTTTGCTTGGCGAGCTCCAGCGATGATGCAAGCGTAAACACACACACACACACACACACACGGTGCAAACAGTGCTCTCAGCCCTGACGGACCACGGAGTGGATGAATGCCACTGACTTCAGGCGATGTGCTAAAGGACCGAGGTGCTGAGAGAACCACGCCTCCGGGCTTCTTTCTGCTCCTCAACCGTCTGCAAACAAACCCCACACAAAACCCTCCTTTGTCAACGGTGCTGAAAAATGGCTTCACGCTGCTCACCGGGCTTTGTCAGGTTCAAAACAACCCTGAAAACAGGATTTGTGAGCACGAGAGGATTCCTAGGCGATACACAGGTAACAGCGGCAGGTCCCACTGCTGCTGGTTACAGTCGGGACAAAGACACATCCAGATCACCTGATCCAAATCTCCTCACAGCTTCCCTCTTTTATCCCTGGTGTGATCTTCCTGTCTGCCCTTTATCTCCACTCTCTTTTATCTACTCTACAGCTGCGTTTGGAGCTGCTCTTTAAATAAAGTTTACAACGCGAAGAGTCAAAGCAGCGGGTGAATTTAGGTCTTCAGCGGCGGCTGCGGCCTGTTTCCTGCCCTGATTAGCATCCTGACTTCAGATTGTGTTGTGGAAAAGCTGTGGTGTGTGTGTATAAGTGTGTATGTGTGTGTGTAGGTGTGTATAAGTGTGTATGTGTGTGTATAAGTGTGTATAGGTGTGTATAAGTGTGTATGTGTGTGTATGTGTGTGTATAAGTGTGTATGTGTGTGTATAGGTGTGTATAAGTGTGTATAGGTGTGTATAAGTGTGTATAAGTGTGTATAAGTGTGTATGAGTGTGTATAAGTGTGTATAAGTGTGTATGAGTGTGTATAAGTGTGTATGAGTG